TCTCTCTCTGTCTCATTGTGTCATATGGATTACTGTTAATTTATTATGCTGATCTGTTCTGTACGACATCTATTGCACGTCTGTCCGTCCTGGAAGAGGGATCCCTCCTCAGTTGCTCTTCCTGAGGTTTCTACCGTTTTTTTCCCCGTTAAAGGGTTTTTTGGGGAGTTTTTCCTGATCAGCTGTGAGGGTCATAAGGACAGAGGGATGTCGTATGCTGTAAAGCCCTGTGAGGCAAATTGTGATTTGTGATATTGGGCTTTATAAATAAAATTGATTGATTGATTGATTGATTGATGGACGGATGGACAGACAGACGGACAGACAAGTAAACATATGTTTATATGTATATAAATGTGTGTGTGTTGTTATTACCAGGTGAAGGCCAGAAACTGAAGGACACAGAAGAGGAGAGCCAGACCGTTGTTCTTCCACTGGACAGGTACACACACACACACACACACACACACACACACACACACACACACACAGGTACAGAAGTGAGTGTGAGTCCTCCACACACACACACACACACACACACACACACGATGATAGTGAGTGACAGAAGCTGAGAGTTGGTTTGTCTCACCCAGAACGCAGAACACAGAGTCAGGACCAGACACACCTGGAGACACACATAGGTACACACTTGACTACACACTCTATGCTACACACAGTACAAACTAAACTGCATACTATACACTGCACACTGTAAACTATACATTGTATATTACACACTGTACACTGTATACTACTACCCACTATACACTGCTTATAGTAAACTGCATACTACACACTGTATAATATGTACTACACACTGTACACTATACTACACACTGCACGCTGTATACTACACACTACACACTGCACACTCTATGCTACACACTGTACACTGCACACAGTAAACTGCATACAACACACTGTATACTGTACACTGCACACTGTATACTACACACTGCATACTACACACTGCACTCTACGCTACACACTGTACACTGCACACTGTATACTACACACTGTACACTGCACACAGTAAACTGTATACTACACACTGTGTACACTGTACACTGCACACTGTATACTACACACTGTACACTGTACACTGCACACTGTATACTGCACACTGCACACAGTAAACTGTATACTACACACTGTACACTGTACACTGCACACTGTATACTACACACTGTATACGGCACACTGTACACTGTATACTACACACTACATTGCACACTCTATGCTATACACTGTATACTACACACTGTACACTGTATACTACACACTGTACATTGTACACTGTATACAACACACTGTACATTGCACACTCTATGCTATACACTGTACACTGCACACTGTACACTGCACATTCTAAGCTACACACTGTACACCGCACACTGTAAACTACACACTGTACACTATATACAACACACTGTACACTGCACACAGTGAACTGCATACCACACACTGTATACTGCACACTGCCCACTGTACACTGTATACTACACATTGTACACTGTACACTGCACACTGTATACTACACACTACACTACACACTGTATACTAAACACTGTACACTGCACTGCATACTACACATTGCACACTGTGCACTGCAAACTACACACTGTATAAGACACACTGCATACTGTATAGTACACACTGCACACTGTACACTGCAAACTGCACACTGTATACGACACACTGTACACTACACACTGTATACTGTAAACTGCACACTTATGGAGCTTTATCCCTATCTTTATTCAAGAGAGTGGTCTATCAGTTTGAGAGCATTATTTATTGATTTCACGTTCAAAAACCCTGCCCTCGCACTCAAATAGCCTCTGCTTGCACTTGGACCTACTCTGTTTCTGCTCAAACTGTGTGCTCGCACTCAGATACCATGTTGCTTGCACTTAGATACCATGATGCTTGCACTCAGATACCATGTTGCTCGCACTCAGATACCATGTTGCTTGCACTTAGATACCATGATGCTTGCACTCAGATACCATGTTGCTTGCACTTAGATACCATGATGCTTGCACTCAGATACCATGTTGCTGGCACTTAGATACCATGATGCTTGCACTCAGATACCATGTTGCTCACACTCAGATACCATGTTGCTCGCACTCAGATACCATTTGCTTGCACAGATTTCCTGCTCGAGCTTCGGCTTTTCTCCTCGCGCTCAAACTGTTTCTGTGTGCTTGTGGAATTTCTGCTCTCAGATTTCTGCCCTGCGCTTGGATTTTTTTGTTTAACAACCCTGTCAAAATCCCCCAACCAATAGAATGCCAGATTTACTGTTGACCAATGAAATGATCCCTGCCTCCTTGTGGGCGCGCTCGCCTTAGCTTTACAGCGTCCCCGCTGGGCGGGTACTCTTTAACCGGGTTCATCCAATCCCACCCTCTTCCCCTGTCAGGAGTTATTTTTCAACAGTCACTGGCTCACCATTATCCCTTAAACTTATACATATACAT